AGCATGTTAGATAACTAAATTTGATTGAAGGAATACTGCACTTGAGTAGAGTGTCTACATTGTCTTCTAGATAATGAGGTTTGTCTAGGTATGTTATGCTAGGCAGGTCAATAGAGTATGTTTGATGGCTTTTTAACTAGAGTCACAACCATCGCGACAGACTTGTAAACTTTGATAAAAGCAAAGAGAGAAAGAGGAGAGACAATAGAGAATGATTGTATTACTTCATAATAGAAAAATGCATACAAAAGACCCTTATATAGTAGGACAACATAAAAGAATAAAAGGACTAAACTACCCTTAAAATTAAATATTCTAACTACTCTAACACCCTCCCTCAAACTCATGATGTGCTAGCAGAAAACATCAAGAGTTTGCCAAGAAGAAAACGAAAGCGAGTAATAGTATGCAATTTTGGGAAAAAATCTGCTAACTGTATAGTGGAAGAAAGAAAAGGGAGGGAGATAGTGCCCAACTGAACATGATGACGCACAAAGTGACAATCAATCTCAATATGCTTTGTGCGCTCATGAAAGACTGAGTTATAAGCAATCTGAATAGCACTAGTATAGTCACAATACATAGGAGTCAGCGCAGATAACATGATGCTAAGATTAGCAAGGAGCCATCGTAACCAAACTATCTCAGCTACAATAGATATCATAGCACGATATTAAGCTTCAGCAGATGAACGAGAAACAACAGTTTGCTTCTTACTTTTCCAAGAAACAAGAGAATCACCAAGGAAAATACAAAAACCCGTAGTGGACATACGGTCCATAGAGTCACCAGCCCAGTTAGCATCAGAATAAGCCCTGAGTTCCATAAAAGAAGAGGAGGAGAATAACAAACTCTGGTGCAGAGTACCTCGAAGATACAGAAGAATACGAAGAACCACAGCCCAGTGAACAGTGGTGGGTGAGGCAACAAATTGGCTAACAATATGAACAGCATAAGAGATACCCTGACGAGTGACTGTAAGATATACTAAACTCCCAACAATAGCACGATAGAGTGTAGGGTCAGACAGGGGAGTACCATTAGAAGAAGAATAACGAACATTGAGCTCTAAAGGTGTTTCAACTATCTGATTATCTGATAAACGAGCTCGTTGAATAACGAGCTCGTTGAATAACATCTGAAACATACTTGGACTGAGAGAGAAGATATCCTTTAGGAGAGGATGAAATCTCAATACCCAAGAAATATCTAAACTGTCCCAAATCTTTCATCTTAAAATGGTCCTGTAATTGAATTTTCAATAAGCATATGCCAGCAGTGTCATCACCCGTAATAATCATATTATCAACATGTAGTAAGAGAATAATAGAACCTGAGAAAGTAGACCATAAAAAGAGAGCATAATCATGGTCACTGGCGCGAAAATCCAAGTCACAAATAACCGTAGAAAATTTGGCAAACCATGCCCTGGGAGCCTGTTTAAGGCCATATAAAACTCGGTGAAGTCGACATATTTGACCAGGACTATGAGACAATCCAGGAGGATGAGTCATAAAAACCTCTTCACTTAAATCCCCATGAAGAAATGCATTTTTCACATCCATTTGAGACAAATTCCATTGGCGAATGGCAGCAACTGCATTCACAGTGTGAACAATAGTCATCTCTGCAACAGGGGCAAAAGTCTCATCATAGTCTATACCATACTCCTGAGCAAAACCCTTGGCTACTAATCGAGCTTTATACCTTTCCACAGAACCATCAGACTTGGTTTTTATCTTATAAATCCACCTACAACCAGTGGGGCGTTTACCAGGTGGTAAAGGCACTAGTTCCCAAGCTCTGGTCTTATGTAAGGCATACAACTCCTCTTCCATAGCCTGTTTCCAAAGTGGATCAAGTAAAGCCTCCTTGTAGGAGGTCGGTTTAGATAAGGAGTAAATAGAAGTAAGGAAATAACAAAAGTCAGAAAAATAACAAGTGTTACTCCAACCAAACCTGTTTGGACATTTGCGAGAGCGCTGAGGATAGCGCGGGATATGATCCACATTGTCTAAACCTGATTGGGTGGCAGGAGAAGAAAGGGGAGGCACCACATTTGTAGAGGAGATAGCTGAATTTCTGCGAACATATGTATGCACAATAGGGGGACAAGTGATGGGTACATTAGAAACAGTCATATCACCAACATAAGTGTCAGAGGGAACATCAGCCAGAAATGGGTCAATATAAATGAGATCAGATTTATGCAAATGTGAGGAACTAGATGGAATAGAAAAGAAAGGAATATGCTCCATGAAAATAACATGACGAGAGACATAGAGTTTGTGTAAAACAGGATCATAGCAACGATACCCCTTTTGACTCTCACCATAACCAAGGAAAACACATAAAACTGAACGAGCAGAGAGCTTAGTACGAAGAACACTAGGAAGCAAAACAAAACAGGTGCTTACCACATAGTTTTTCAAATGGAGAAATTCCAGAGGTGATGACAGTGGGAATAGAATTAATCAGATGGACTGCAGTAAGAACTGCTTTCCCCCAAAAAGAACTTGGGACATTTGCTGACAGTAAGAGAGAGCGTGCTATCTCCATAATATGTCAGTGTTTGCGCTATGCTATACCATTCTGTTCAGGTGTATCACTACAAGAAGATTGTCAAATAGTACCATCAGATTTTAATAGATCACGAAAAGAGTTGAAAGAATATTCTCCTTCTTGGTCACATCGAAAACATTTAATAACAGATGACTATTGAGTACGTATCATAGCACGAAAAGTAGTGAATACAAAAAAGAATTCAGAATGATGTATCATGAGATAAACCCAACAAAACCTAGTATAATCATCAATGAAAGAGACATAATATTTTGACCCTCCTTTTGTGGGAATAGGAGTCGGTGCCCAAACATCAGAATGAACCAGATCAAAAGGTGCAAGTGAGCTAGTGAAACTTTTATTAAAAGGTAATGCAGTAAATTTAGCTAACTTGCATCCACTACAACTGAAAATATCATGACACTCTAAATTACCCAAATTCCCAATAGAGGCTAAAAATTTTAAACGAGAGTGGGACACATGACCAAGACGAGAATGCCACAAATAGAAACTAGAAGACTGTGGACTTAAATGAAAAGAAGATATATCAACAGTAGAAGCAACAATGTCAGGAATATGTAACTCGTCTAACACATACAATCCTCCCTTTCTACTGCCTGTCCCAATCAATTTCTTGGAACATGGATCCTATACAATACAACCAGAAGAGGAAAAATGAACTGAAAATCCAAAGTCAAATAGTTGAATGACTGAAATTAAATTTATGGTAAGCTGTGGAATATAATAAACATCAAGAAGTGTTAGATACGGAGAAATTATAGATCCAACACCAGCCAATGACATTTGCGTACCATTAGCTGCAAGCACAGAAACAGATGGAGGAGAAAAAATAGATGCAAATAAGGAAGAATCACTTGTCATATAATGGGTAGCACCTGAGTCAAAGACCCAGGCGGTTCGAGATATACCTGAAGGACCCGAAGTGAACGAACCTATAGAAATTGAGATGGAGAGAGTATTAGGCTGTTGAAGGAGCTCCTGCACTTGATCAACAATCTTAGTCAATTTTAAACTAATTAACAGATGAGAGCCATAATTGTCACTAGCCAAAAATAACAACAGTCAAATTAACGGAACCAATTCCAAATCACCAAGTCCAGCTGAAGGTCAAAGGCCCAGCAAGAATAGAAACCAAACTGACCCAACAATTACAACCCAATGGAAAATCAAAGTCCCAGCTGGAGAACAATAGTCAATCAATCTGTCCAATAGCCCAAACAACAAATATCAAACAACCCAATAGCCTAAAGTAATAAAGAACACAGCGAACACCGACAAAACTAAATAGGCAACAAAGTCTTCCAGCAAGCCAAGAAGAGAAGAATATTCAAAACCAGCAACAACGAAGCAACAGAGCAATAACCGAAGCTAAAATTCTGCACAAGCTCACAACTTGCATGGGCCACCAATTGCTCACACCTCACACCCACAACTAACAAACCAACAATTAACAGATCAAAGAGCAGCAACAGACAAGGTAGGAAGATGGCGTGAGCAACAGAAGACAGAAGGAAATCAGTCAAAAATCTCATTCCTTTGCATCAAAAACCAATTCAAAATGCTTCAAAGCATCCCATTGAACACCAAGGAGGCAATATACCCAAAAAAAAAGGGCACTAAAAATTGAAATTTGGCACTGTTCACATCATGAACAATAATGTCGGCACTGTTCACATCATGAACAGCGTTTTCAGCACTGTTCACAGCTCCTTAGAACCACAAATAGCAACCCACCTATCACTAGCCCTCAAATCACACAACCCAAGAATATATTCTTCCTCCAACTAATTTATCATGGTGCTGCAATATATATTTTGGATTGAAACCATGCTCTAATACTATGTAAACTTTGATAAAAGCAAAGAGAGAAAGAGAAGAGACAATAGAGAATGATTGTATTATAGCATAATAGAAAAATGCATACAAAAGGCCCTTATATAGTAGGGCAACATAAAGAATAAAATGACTAAACCACCCTTAAGATTAAATATTCTAACTACTCTAACAAGACTCACATAGTGAGGGTGAAGATAATGACGAGCTCACACTCAAATGGGGAGAAGGAAAACCCCTCCAAGAAATAGAAAGCCAAACAAAGAGATGACCTGAAGTTACTTAAATCTTGAGTTTCTTGTTGAATAGTTGTTCTTGTTTTTATGTTATTAACTATAAGTTGATTTTTGAGTGAATATTAACCACCTAACTCCTAACTGAATACCAAAATAACTGTTTTACATTATCTTAAGCATGAGAAAATAGTCTAAAAACTTGCCTGCAAAATTTGTGACAAACACACATTTAGCTTTAGGGTACATATGAAATATTCCTTAATCTTGACAGCAATATTATATAAGATATTCATAGAAAAAAGTGGTTACATTGTAGGAAGAACATTGCCATTCTCTAAATACGTTCGGCTAAGAAATCTAAACAAAAACAAGTAAATGGGAACTAAAATAAAAAAATCATGTGTACAACCATTTATTATAATGCCCCTCGCCATGGGCAGGAAGACTCCTACTAATCAAGATACCAGAAATCTCCCTAGAACAAACTCTAAAACATTTAATTCTCCAAGGAATCAGACCTAGCATCATTCACTTTGTCCGACAATGTCCTCTTGCAAATTGAATAGGGGCACAACTTGGAATTTTCAACTCCATGCATGAATTCAATTATGATCAAGGGATGCAAATGATGGATGCATCATAGCCTTAAAGGAGGTTGGTAATCTTTTACACAAACATACAGTGGTAAAGCAGGATGGTAATCTGTTACAAACATACAGTGGTCAAGCAATAATGTTAAATACCCTAGAAAATTACTTTGATAGCTATCCCTTTTTACTATTATTTTGATAATCTTTTACACAAACATACAGTGGTAAAGGAGGCTGGTAATCTTTTACAAACATACAGTGGTCAAGCAATAATGTTAAATACCCTAGAAAATTACTATGATAGCTATCCCTTTTTACTATTATTTTGATAATCTTTTACACAAACATACAGTGGTAAAGGAGGCTGGTAATCTTTTACAAACATACAGTGGTCAAGCAATAATGTTAAATACCCTAGAAAATTACTCTGATAGCTATCCCTTTTTACTATTATTTTGATACCTTATAAAACTAGAGAAAACTACAAAGGTCAGACATACCTTGTCCGTTAACCCTTGGGCAGAAGTAACAGTTTTGGCCCTTTGGGCTTGAAAAGGGCTGAGGGTGATGCCTTGGCATTGGGCCCCATATTTCCTTGCTAGGTATCTAGAACTTCCTCCAATCCCACACCCAACATCTACTATACTCTTGGGTGATTCCAGCGGGTCGTCTGCAAACCAATTCATAAATAAATTAAAACAAAAGTTGGATACTTGTAGAAAGGATAATTTTACATACAAAATGTAGAGAGGGAGTGGGAGAAGAAGCTAATCTTCATTAAGGCACGCCACTATACACAGAGAGTGTGTGTGGAACCATGTTCAATTTAAGGAAAATAAAGCATGAATTAATAAGAGGTGTGCATTTCAACAGCTTTTACTAAAACTAGTCTGATGTGAGAAAAAGAATCTGCGCAGCACAATCTAAAGTTTCTGCACCCAGTTTAATTAAGAAATATACTTCTTTTGAGTTCAGAAAACTTTCTAGTTGTGAATTTAGATCAAGTGAGAATCACTTCACCAAGCCACAGTAAGGAACCAAGTATACAAAAAAGAAAAAGGAAAAAACTCGATGTGGTTATATATGAAGTGAGGATTTCTTTGTATACATAGAGAATTGTCACCAAAATATCATCAATTTGTACCATAGGTTAATTCATCTAAACTCTATTAGGTTAGACACATGATCAAACAAATCCCCTCTTGTTTGAGAAATAGCACCTTCACTCATGAGATTATTAAAATATCCAAACTCAAAATTAATTTCAAGAAAGGGAAGAGGACCAAGAGATCCACAAATCTATTTATTAATGAGGAGCAAGCTATAATTTTGCCTCACATGTGAAAATATAGACAAAGACCTAGAACAAAAGATCAATTATATAACAATGTGTACTCATTTCACGAAAAAAGGAATAAATGGTTATAAGATCAATGATCAAAATTTTATTTCGGTGCATAGTTTCGATGAGTTTAAAAACGAAAACATTTCAGTAATGTTTCAGAAATATTTCAAAAACAATATGGAAACAAAAAAAATTAAAAATTTATTTTCACAACATTAGTCGAAACATATCAAAACATAGTTTCAAACACGCCGAAATACCTTGAAACATCTCGAAACATAAGAATAATGATATTCAATCAATGATTCGTTTCAGTTTTCATGGAAACAGAAACATTTCGACCGTTTCGAAACGAAATTTAGTTCCTGCCTCCATTTGGCGTCTTTCTTTTTGACTAGCAAAACTGAAGAAAAAAAGGGGCTCACACTCAACTTTATGGTGTCAGTTTCAAGCATATCTTTTACAATCTTTTCAATCTCATTCTTTTGAATATAAGGGTAGTGGTAAGGTCTCACACTAAAGGCAGGACAACCTAATTTTAGTGGATTTTGTGATCTTCTTGTCTGCGACAAGGTAACCCACGAGGCTCTACAAAAACCAAATCAAACTGAGCCAATAATTATGATAATCCAAAATTTTCTGCATCATTTTGTACTTAGACAGAATTTAACAGTGATAAGGCTTGAGTTGAGAATACCTGGACCACAACCCCTTGTGTAGACTACTGTAACACGTAGCCCATCTTGTTTGCACCAATTAATTTTATGGGTCATGTGGTAGCACACCTCAACACTTAAACTCCATCTTAAGGTTTTGGAAGTCCCAACAGATCAGTCTGAGGTTAGCAAGCCATTGAACATCAAGGACCATGTCACACACATCTAAGGGTAAAAGCCGTATGTCTGCTATGAATTAGGTTCCTTGCATAACCCATTGTAATTGACGACACATGGCAGAACTAGCAATTCTAGTGTCATCTGCTACGACCACAAATATGGGCTAGTTTGATAAGTGGTGCACCATGTTCGTTTAGCTTATTCCGGGTCTAAAAAGTTGTGGACGATAGAGTTATACACTAAAAGCTTATTTTTTTATAGTGAAATTCAGTTTATTATTTAATAAATGTACGTCATTTTCTATTTTAATGAGAATCTGTGTCGAGTAAATTTTTTTTATTATATTAAATATATGATATGCATGTGTGTTTTTTATTTGTAGATAATTTGGTGTGTAGCGTTCGGCTTATGCGCAAAATATCAGATTATCAAATCCTTGTATGATATGCGCAAAGGTTCACAATCATAGATAGAATTGAACACACTCTCAGTAGAATTGTAGTACAATCATCTGGTATAGTCTTTCTTGATTATAGAAGACTGCCTAATGTATTAGATTGTTGTACTAGTACACTTTGTGTATTGAACATGACCGTTTTTGAGGTTATTATTTTTTTACTAACTAAATAAGAAAATAAATAACTCATGATTATTATGATTGTTTCAACACTTAATCCTGAGATATTTAATGAACAACCAACGGCCTTTGGTATTCCTTATCTTGTGAAGAACTTGTTTGGTTAAGGTCAAGAGTTTAATGCCCTTTTCCCTCCGAAAAAAAAAAAAAGATATTTAATGAACATGTGCATATAATGATTGTTACGTTAATTCATCAAAGAGTGAGATTTATATTTGAGACAACAAATTTGATGAATTGGGAGAGGACATTGTTTTGTATGGTAGAAATTAATTATGAAAAAAAATTACGTTTCGGCATTTAAATGAGTTGATGATGTCCTCTCGAGAAACTTATAAGTTTTTTCCATGTCAAAGTTAGAAGGGGATTTAATTATTCGAAATGACAAATAAATTGAGTGGTAAGATCTTAAGGATAAAAAAAAAAGTTAATTACATATAATTATCAGTAATTGAATTAATTGATAGACATCTGTAATCTTAAACATAAAGAGATTATTAAGCATATAATAACAAAGCGCTCAAAATATAATTTTAAGATAAGGCCCGGGAGATCAATAATAAATTTTTAGTGGATTAATTTATTACTAATGGATCGTAGGATATTTGTTTTGAGTTAGACATTGGATTCCTTAGGCCTATTGGAAGCCCAACCCTTATTTCTTCTTAGGGTCTCTAATGTAGCCAATATATAGACGTACTTTCTAATTCTCTCAGCCAAACTTTACATTCACATTTAGAAGAGGTAGAGAGACAGTGTAAGAGCAAGAGAGAAAATTCAAAGTGTTACAGCCCACACTATATTTGAATTTTTTGTGTTGAAGGACATACAATAAAAGATCGTGAGATCTATTGAACTGGCTATTCCGTTTGTATCAATTTTCATTAGTTCTATGATTGCCAAAAGTAAACCCTAATTACATCTTGTAGGGTTAACAAATAATTTTGGTATTCGGTTCACACGCGTCGTCAACAAATCTTGGGATTCCCATTCCAGGTGCTTCTCGAATCAATTAAAATTGTAATTTGCTTCCATTTCACGAATCCTTTCGCCTGCATGTTTTGGTATGATGTAGAGCTCGTGAGAGCATGGAGTAAGATGACTGATTTGTCAATTGGAACATCTACGGTGCCTTCAAGGGGTTCGGTCGTGGCATCTTCAAACTGTTCCACTTCTTCTTCGGGCTCATCTGCTTCTAAAAGGGATAGTTGTTTCCTACACCTGTGGCCAATGACATATTTCTCGTCGGAACAGTAACAAAGGCCTTTTACACATCGTTCCTCCAATTGTGCTGATGAGATTCTCTTTATAGGTGGTAATGACAACTTGGGTTTAAATTTAGGAAACCCTTTTGGAAAGGTGTTGGTTGACGACAAAGAAGCTCGAGCCTGACGTATAACAACATCCATAGTCTCCTCCTGTAAACGGGTCAACCCTATTGCATGAGAGAGGGTAGTTGGCTCAACCAGCACAACTCTATTTCGAATTTCCTCATGCAGGTCACTAGTAAAGCACTGCATAAAGAAATCCTCTGTTAAGCCACAAGTACTCGTCATTAAAGCTTCGAATTGCTCCGGATAATGTCTCACTACACAAGTTTGCCTTAATTTTGTCAATATGTCAATTGCATTATCATAGTAGCTAGGACCGAAACGCAGGCACAAGTCATTATCTTCCATGAATATGACAATGGGCAACCTCATAACTCTGAAACCAATCAACTATTATGCCGTAAAAGTGAATGGATGCTGCATAAACCTTGTCCTCCTCTTTGACGTGGTTGTACTTGAAGAATCTCTTGCAGCTGTATACCCAACCAATGGGGTTTCACCATCAAAATGGGGAAAATCCAAACATGCATATTTTGTCCGAATTGCTTCACAGCAGAACTTTGTCACCTTCGTAGCGGGGTCTTAAAAACATGAGATATCTCCTCTTACCCTTGTTCATTGATCGGCAAAAATTGGGTAGTCAACTATTTATACCTGATGTTGATCGCTGGAACCAATTGTTTTAAGACCTTCGTTTCTACAACATGGCGATCAACAAGAACCTTCATGTCGACAACTTGTCGGTCAAAGTTCTCTTTCAGAGTGCTAATACTCTCCTTCATAAATTTAACATCGTGCGCCCTAGTCCCTTTCACCATTATCATCGGTAGAAACCCTTTGTTATTGAAACTCAAAATAATACAAATTCTTGTTGTGCTCATCTACCCACAGAGACTCCCAAAAAATACAAAAAAAAATAGCTTCATAAATTCCTAATCACATGCCATTGTCAGCTCCTAGAATCCAGCCAATCAACCATCATTAATTGCAACATAAATCCCGCTAATTGCGGCATGATTTACTGCATGATCTTTTCCTTCCAAATCGTCCCATAACAGTCACAAACTGAGAGTGGGTATATAATACACAAGTTTAGTGCTACATTAGATACAAACAAATTGTATCTATATCATTATGTGTCTAATTGATGAATGATTCCAACTTTTTATAAAAACATTGCCATGAGTAGATCTGGGCACTTGGGATTCCTTGATACTTTTTGAGGAGCATTTGCCCTTTTCGACACTTACTTTAGATTCCAAAATGTTATTACTAGCAGATAGGAACTAATAGGAAGGGACAATGTTATTCTCCAAACGAAAAGGAGTTTTATTGTACAAGCTACTCCATGGAAAGGCAACACGTTAGCTATTGTAAACTCTGTTTGGTGGTGACAATATATTCTTTGTGGAAGGAGAATAACTCTAGAGAGTTCATTGTCATAGTCAAATGGACTACAGCTCTTTTGATACAATAAGATGCAAAGTGTTGTAAGGAGCCAGAAAATTAGTTTAGGGTTAATAAGTTATGTTTTTTTTTTAATTGATCGTAGAAGTTTTTATATTTTTTATCATAGCCGTAGAAATTCGTATATTCATATTTGTTGAAACCATATTTAAAAACTTCAAAGTTTATTAAACATAAAAAATTAAAAATTGATCTATATCGCATGTACGCAAGAAATAAAAAAGAAAATAATTATAATTTGGTACAAAAAATGAGCCTAATTATTATCATTTACAATTGATTCTGATAATTTTTTTATCTTTTAAAAGAGTTACAAATCAATGTCATCAACAAATATTTTTTTTTCTATATATAAAATCATGGTAACAATCGTCACGCTTATTTCTATATAATAATAAAATAATCATATAATTTTAAAAAATTACAAAATACCCTTAATATGTCTAAAACTTTTTCAATCATGATATAGATACAATTCATCGTATGGATGGTAGACTTTATTAAAAATTGAGACTCACTATTAGACTTAATGTCACAATATATTAGGTACTAAAATTAGGTTCCAATAGCATTGATCAAAAGTTAGTAATCATTTACGTATGAATTTTTTATCCTAATCCATATCACAAGAACACAATAATTGGGTGGGAATAATTAAATATATATAAATTTTATTTAAAAAAATACATAGCTAATGTCAAGCAAAAAATTTTGAGGAGTCCAATGGTAGCTCCGCCAATGGGTGTTGTCCCTTAAGATAACGAATACTAGGGAGAATAAAGCTTCTGTTTGCAGCTGGGAAATCCCAATGGATTGATGGCCTTTATATACTGAGTTGTTTATGAGGTGCTACATTCATGCAGTTTCAAGTTGAATCTGTGCCATCAATTTTGTTTCTGGCAATAGTTGGACATACATCATTGATGTTTAGTTTGGAATTTGTGTCATTTCCTTATGGTGAATGCACCGTAGAAGTTGGGAGGGTTTTTGTTATTTTCCCTCTTGTTGTATGGAGCTTAAATTTCTATCAATGATTATAAAATTTCGTTTATTTGCCAAAAAAAAAAAAAGGAGTTTACCTGATTAAGGAACGGGTTTTGCTTTGTGGATAACGCATTTGTGGACACAATTTATAGAAGTCTAGATAGACGAGAAAGAGTAAAGGTGGTACCGGGAACGGAGGCGAAGCGCAGAGCCTCTTCGATCATGCGGATCTGGGCGGAGCGATGGTCGGAGACAGAGACAGTAGCATTAGGGTCGTAGAAGCCATGGTGCATATGGTCCCCCCAAATGTCCTCCCATATTCCCGATGACTCGTCGTACAACTCCGCAATCCCTTTCTGCAGCGTCTCCACCTCCCTATACACTGCACGTGTGGTTGTCGTTGTTGTTTTTCTTCCCGACGACTGTGACGTCATTACTGTGGTCCGGTGGCGCGTGGATGGTCGGTGACGGTGGAGACTGGTTTGGCCCGCGGATAGGAGAAATGCAGAGTGGTCGCATGTGTTGCTGCAGAATGCATTCATCGATGCTTGCTTCTCCTTTTTGTTCCCTCCGGTCCGGTCCGGCTGGGGGTGAAGTAGAGTAGACTCGGCAGAGTGGAGAGCAGTTGGGTTAATGACTGGGCACTAAAACAAACACGTGGGACAATCGGGGCAATACTTATTTACTGATTTTTATCTCGTTTAATTGATAGTAAATTTTATTATTAATTTAATGATTATAATCTGTCGTCTTACCAAATAAAATCACTAATTTTCCTTGAAATAATGACACCAATCTAACTGACAAAAAAAAAAGTTAAAAAGCAAATAAATTAATATTAAATACTATAAGCTAGGAAATGGTTGTGGTTTATGAAAACCTAACAGCAAGGGTATTGATTAATAAAAAATTTCATTCATATTCTCTATAGTTAGATTTAAATTTAATGACATTTCCTTTTAATTTTGAATTTTCACTAACACATCATGTTAATTATTATTTATTTACATTTATTTAGATAAATGTACCATTTGTATTTTATAAGATAAATTTCATCCAACGCCCCTGTAAATAGGCTTAACTTCAACGACACTCTCTCAAGATTTTAAAATTTTACTATACTTCTATTATATTAACTTATGGTTCATCAATTTAATATTTAATTTTTTTTAATTAATGTCTTTTCTTTAATTTAAACTTAATTAACATTGATCTCATCAAATCAATAAAAAATTGATATTTAATTTATTCAAATTAATATTATTTCTTTAATTTAACACTAAATTATTATTTAATTTCATCAAATTAGCATTTAATTTTATCACATTAAAATATAATTATATGAAATATAATATTAAATTCCTCATCAAATTAATGTCATTTCTTTAATTTAACATTCAATTTTATCAAAATAACATTCAAATTTAT